TGTGCTTTTTGGTAAGAAACGAAGTGCCCTGTTTAGAGATGGATGGAGCTAGGGTGGGATTCCTACTTCACAACTCACTACACTATCTTTGTGAGCAAGTTATTTAAGCTCAGTTTTGGAGTCTTGGTTATTGATTTGTTCAAAGGTTACACAAATAATATCTACTCCGGGTGGGTTGTGGCCATTGAATGAAAGAGTCTAGCACGAAGAAGGCACTCAGAGTGCATTTCTTGCTTCCCCTACCATGGAAGGCAAACTCCAGGATGCTTCGTCCTTCTGTAGCTTCTGCGTTTGATATTTCTAGGATAGTGGTCGGCAAACTCATTAGTCAACAGAGCCAAATATCAACAATATAACGATTGAAATTTCTTTTGAGAGCCAACTTTTTTAAACTTAAACTTCTCCTAATGCCACTTCTTCAACATAGACTCATCCAGGCCCTGGTATTTTGTGGAAGAGCCACACTCCAGGGGCATATGGCTCGAGAGCCGCAGTTTGCAGACCAAAGTTCTAGGAGAAAAACTAAGACTTGGTAGAGTCCTTACTACAGTCAAACCCCTATTATTTCTTTAATGCCATTCAATTCCTACAACCATGTACTATCTTGATATATTACTTAATACTAGTTAACAATGGCAGTTAATAGTTATTAATTTTTCTGCACTATGGATATGAATCATGAAATAATGTGGTGTGCTCAGGTCAGGTTTTGTTTGGTGGGGTTTGGCTAGATTCCCTAGTTATGTGGAAAGAATGTGTGTAAAGGAGAAAAAACAGTTCTGTTATTTTGTTAAGTAAGTTGAAACAAAATAATGTGCAACACACACCCTACTTTCTCCTTGGGTGAACTTTAAGGTGATCAGACGTCCCGCTTTTGGCGGGACAGTCCCGATTTTAAACAATTTGTCGTGAGTCCCTTGGGGTTTTAAAAAAGTCCTGAATTTTGGAAAAAATGCATGACAAGCTAGGGAACGGCGGGAGAATGGGAAGGGAATATACAGTTTTCAGCGGCCATGTGACTATTTAGCCAGGGTATGAGTTTTGTATTATTTTTGTTAATTTTATAATGTTAAACTTTAATAATAACAAATAATTGTTGAGAACTGCTTATTGAGAACTGCTTATCAAAGTTCGCATTGTTGATCAGTTGTTAGAATTCACTCGAATGAGAAATATGCCAAAGAATAAAATAATACTATACATAATTTTTTATTTATTATATTTGTAAATTGTATTTATGTTGAAATTCTAAAAAATATATTACAATACTATTTTTGCTTTCTATGAAAATTTTTGTTGCTCCCTATAGACCAAATTTTTAATCAAGAATCACACACACACACACACACACACACCCAATGGTGTGTGTCCAGCTTAAAATCTGGTCACTAAGGTCACCTGAGTTCTAGTTCTGTGGCCAGGTGGCATGTTCAGGACAGGTGGCCAGCTTTTAAGGCAGGCGTCTTCAAACTACGGCCCGCAGGCCACATGCAGCCCGCGGAGGAGTCTGATCCGGCCAGCCAGGTTTTTTGGGCAGTGAGCGCAGCCGAGGTGTTACAGTTCGGCCGCCAGGACCTGCATATACACTGTCACTGCACGGCCGCTCTGACCCCTCTGCCTCTTTAAGAGCACAGTGCCTGCTGGGGCTCAGAGCGTGTGACGTGCCGCGCCACAGGCACGTCTGTGCTGTGCTGCGCGGCAATGATGTAAAAAGGCGCCAGCTTCACCCCCAGGCAACGTGGTGTCTGTGTGCTGTGCCTGCCTGTCAGTGAGGTTCTCCTCCTCTCCCTCCACTGCCTTCACCAAAGGTCGGTCGAAAGTGCCATAGAAAGAAATTTTTTCCAGATGGGGGTTTCTGCCCGATTGGGGGTTGGGGGGTTGGTGACTCATATGAAAATTCCCCTTTGGGGGGGGGGGGGCGTTCGGTGCTGAAATCAAAATTCTGCCAGTTGGGGGGTGGGCGTTGGGGGTGGTTGGGAGGTCAGGGCTTTGGTGCTGAATTGCCCATATGGAAAATTCTGCCAGTTTTGGGGGGAAGGTGTTCGGTGCTGATATGTGAAATCAAAATTCTGCCAGGTGGGAGGTGGGGGGAGGTTAGGGGTTCGGTGCTGAATTGCCCATATGGAAAATTCTGCCAGTTTTGGGGGGAAGGTGTTCGGTGCTGATATGAGAAATCAAAATTCTGCCAGGTGGGGGGTGGGGGGGGACTTGGACCAAGTCTCTTTGTGGAAGAATTGAGACTGACAGCATGCCGCCCCAGCCAGCAGCCTTTTTTTTCCATGAGGCAACCCTGATCGCATCTTGCTACTAATATAGCCAGGCCCATTCCAAACCAGAAAGTCAACTACAGTGTAAAAAGACGATTAAAGCCTTTTAAAGGGGTTTACATTAAAAATTGTATATGCATTTTGCATTTCCTTTTCAGTGTTCACATGCTGATTCCGAACATATCAATTTGGCTGTTATATAGGGAGATATAACCGAACCCCATCAGGGACTGAGCTGGTCTGCTTAGAAAAGCCTGCAAGAGGTAAGTGTCCACATCGGGGGCAGAGACCTACTAATGGGAGTTCATACACTGTGTGTGTGTGTGTGTGTATATATATATACACACACACATATTAGTATTTTACTAATAGCAATTTGGAATCCCTAGGAAACAATGATGTCAAGAAAAAGAAAAATTGACTCCGAGTGTAGGATATTCAAAGAACAGTGGACTTATGATTACTTTTTCACGCGGTACAAAGAAAAAGCTGTGTGTCTGATATGCCAGAATATAGTTGCTGTGTTCAAAGAATACAATTTGCGACGCCACTATCAAACTCAACATAAAGATAAATATGATTGTTTGGTCAGAGAAGTGAGAAAAGATAAAATATTAAAACTGAAACATACACTGACAACTCAGCAAAATACTTTTGTGAAGCAGAAGCAGCTAAATATTTCATCACTGCGGGCAAGTTTTCAAGTTGCCAAGCTAATAGCGCGCAATGGCAGACCATTTGTGGAGGGAGAATTTGTTAAAGAATGCCTTCTTTCTGTTGCCAAAGAGATGTGTCCAGAGAAGGCCGATTTATTTAGTACAGTGAGTCTTTCAGGAGCTACAATGACACGAAGGATTGAAGAAATGGGAGACAATTTGCAGCACCATTTGCAAAACTCTGCAAAAAAACTTTGCTATTTTTCCTTGGCACTCGACGAAAGCAATGATGTTCGTGATTCTGCCCAACTTCTCATTTTTATGCGTGGGACAAATGAGTAGTATTTTGAAGTCACAGAAGAGCTTTACTGCAAAGTATCAAAGGTGCAACCACAGGAGTGGATATATATGAAAAGGTTTGCCAAACTGTGAATGGTTTGGAGCTGGACTGGGCTAAACTAGCCAGTGTGACAACTGATGGTGCTCCTAGCATGGTGGGGTCTAAGAGAGGAGTAATTGCTCACATTAAACAAGAGATGGACAAACATAACCATCCTCATCCAATTGCCATACACTGCCTCATCCACCAACAAGCGCTGTGTTTTAAATCACTGAAGTGGGACTCTGTTATGAAAATTGTGGTATCTTGTGTTAATTTCATTAGAGTTCATGCACTAAACCACAGACAATTTCAGGAATTTCTGTCTGAGCTAAATGTTGCCCATGAGGATGTTCTGTACCACACAGGAGTCCGTTGGTTGAGTAGAGGGAGAGTTTTGAAATGTTTCTATGACTTACTTCCGCAGATTACAGCTTTTCTACTTTCAAAAAACAAAGAAGTACCAGAGCTCAATGATGCAGAATGGAAATGGTACCTTGCCTTTCTGACAGATATAACAGAGCTACTCAACAGTTTCAATCTGCAACTTCAAGGAAAGGGGAAGCTCATCTGTGATATGGCATAGCATGTGAAAGCATTTGAAGTAAAATTAGGCCTTCTCATCAAACAAGTAAAGGAGGAAAACTTCAGCCATCTCCCAACAATTCAAAACCTGTCAGCGGACAAACCATTGGTTGCATTCCCAAAGAAAACATGTGTGGATTCACTGGAATTGTTGCAAAAGGAGTTTCAATTTAGATTCAAAGAGCTTCATCTCCATGAACAGGACATACAGCTTTTTCGTAACCCATTTTCTGTTGAGATTGAAAATGTCCTTACAATTTACCAAATGGAACTGGCTGACCTGCAGAATTGTGACTCTCTGAAAGACGCATTCAAGTCAAGTAGCCTTCTGAATTTCTATGCATCTCTCCCCTCTGAGACATATCCAAATATCAGGAACCATGCACTCAAAATGGTAACCATCTTTGGTAGCACTTATGTCTGTGAACAGACTTTTTCAAGAATGAAACATCTGAAATCTCCAACCAGATCAAGATTAACTGATGCCCACTTGCATCACTTGTTATGACTAGCAGTGACAAATATGGAACCGGACATTGACCATCTCATTAGCCAAAAGCAGGCCCACAGTTCCCATTAAAATACTGGTAAGTGATCTGTTTATTTATAAATGTTCTTCATTTTATTTATATTGTATTTGTTACCTTTTTGCGAAATAAGATATGTGCAGTGTGGGTAGGAATTAGTAGTTCATATAGTCCGGCCCTCCAGCTCTCTGAGGGACCGTGATCTGGCCCCCACTTTAAAAAGTTTGAGGACCCCTTAAAACAGGTCAAGGAAACGGGACACATCCCGCCCCTTCCCCTGCCTACCCCACAACCCCCGCTGGGGGCGCCGCCGAGGCTCCCACGTGGCCGAGGCCCGGCCCCAGCGGCCCCTCCTTCCTCCGCCGCCGCGCGGTCCTCCACCGCCAGGGGGCGTGCGCGGCTCCGGCGGCAGGGCCCATTGGCGGCGGCGGGGCGGGGGAGGAGGCCCGGCGGCGGCTGGCTTCCTCCCGGCCACTGGCGGGTGCGTGGCGGCCGGCGGCGCTCGGAGGAAGCGGCGGAGCGCGCGGCCGGCGGCGGAGGGAGGAAGCGGAGGAGCGCGGGCGGCGGCGGCGGCGGCCCGGGCAGCACTGACGGCGGGGCGGCCGGAGGGCGGCGCGGGCGGCGGAGCGGCGGGCGGGAGGCCGGTGAGAGCGGCGGGGCGGAGGGAAGGGACGCGGCCGGGGAGGGGGATGGCGGGAGGGGCGGGAGCGCCGGCTTCCCCTGCATCCTCCCCGCCCCGGGCTGCCGCCGCCGCCGCCGATCGCCGGGCGGGACCGGGCGTCGGGGCGAGGCTGGCCCCGGGCCGCTGCCGGGCGCGGGCTCCGCTGCCGGCGTCCCGCCCGGGTCCGCGGAGGGGGCGGCGCCGCACCGGGCGCGGGGGTCGGGCGCGGGTCGGGGCGCGGGGCGCGGGGAGCAGGGGCGCGGGGAGCAGGGGCTGGCGGGGCTCGGCCGGGGTCGGCATTGTGGGCTGAGTGTCCGGAGCAGATGGAGTTGCTGTCCATGGAGCCCTGTGGAGGCCGGTGCAGCTCACTTGTAAAGTTTTAGTGTCTGAAGCGAGAGGTACTTTTATTTCTGAGCCACCCAGCCCTTTGGGGTTGGGAAGGTGTCCTTGGTGAATGTGCTCCTCCTCCTCCTCCTCCTTTTACCCACTTGTTACCTGGCCTCACCGTTCCCAGCTCTAAATGACATCAGGGATGGATGGACGGCTTGGTATTGAGAGATCCTGCTGTGTGTGGGGTGTGTGTATGTGGTTTCATCTGCCTTTGATTTACTTATTATTATTTTTATTTTATATATAATGCATGGCCACCATCTAATGGACAGAACCTCTTCTTTGTTTCTTTTTATTTAATAAAAAGAAACCATAAGGATACAATGATACTAGATACTGTTAGACTGCTTACTAGGTATTGTGCCAAGTTTGTTTCATAGGCACACTTGTTTCTTAGAACCCAAAGAAAAATGAACTCCCTGGGGTGTGGAGGGGGGGTGTTTGATGTGGATCCCGTACTATACCCCTTACTGTACCCCCTTTTACCCTTGACCACCTTAGGGATTAGTGCTATCCTGTTTCCCAAGTTTTGGGAAACATGACTGTGACAGTCATTCGATTCAGTCACCTACGTCTCAGAGGAGAATGATGGAGCTGAAAAATGTCCTGGCCTGGCCTGGCGGGTGTGTTCAATGGATAGAGCGAGGGCTGGTACATGGAAGGGTTGGCCTGCACCAGAGTGTGGCGGGTTGGATTGGGATCAAGGGCACATACCTGGGTTGCAGGTTCTATGCAGAGGTTCCATCTCCACCACCCTCCTCAGGGTGGGGGCAGGAGGCAACCAAGCCATGTATCTGTTTCACCCATATATTTTTTTTCCTCTTGCCCCTCCAACCCTCCTTTCCACTCTCTCTCTCAAAAAAAAAAAAAAAAAAAAAAAAAAAAAATCAATGGAGAAAATATCCTCAGGTGAGGACCAACAAAACATAAATTCCTGTCACTCGTGACATAGTACAAGGCATTGCTCACCTGTCTGTGGTGGTGCTGGTGTCAGCTGACCTGTGCTGACAGGGACGGAAAAGCAGGTACAGTTGGCCCTTGAACAGCTGGGCCTGGGGGCCACCAGTCCTTCTGCACAGCGGGAAATCCAGGTGTCAGTCTTGCCTTCGGCAGTCAGCTTTCCCATTTAGATTCCTCCCACTGCGGATTGACAGCTGTGGGTCAGATATACTGTTTCAGTCGACAGTGAGTTGAAGACCCAGATGTGAAGGGCTGACTGTATTTCTTAAAAAAAAAAAAAAATCTGCATAGAAGAGGACCCTCACAGTTCAAACCAGTGTTGTTCAAAGGTCAACTGTGTGTATATTCAGTAAATCATACTTGCTAATTATAAGAAACAAATATGTGACCGGTCTATGTATTTACTGTCCTATACTTTTTAATCATTTTAGAGTGTGGTCTTTTCACTTATTAAAAAGTTGGCTGTACAGCAGTATGCTGTACTGCACCTGCAGCAACCTGTATGTCTCATGTTCACTGCATCTCTTGATGGCATCATTTTCTCTGGTGCTGGATTTGCTGCTTTGTACTATAATATATATAGCTTGTAGCCTAGGACAGTGGTCGGCAAACTCATTTGTCAACAAAGCCAAATATCAACAGTACAAAGATTGAAATTTCTTTTGAGAGCCAAATTTTTAAAACTTAAACTTCTTCAAACGCCACTTCTTCAAAATAGACTCGCCTAGGCCTTGGTGTTTTGTGGAAGAGCCACGCTCAAGGGGCCAAAGAGCCACATGTGGCTCGAGAGCCGCAGTTTGCCGACCACGGCCCCATACCTGTCAATAGGAGGACCAAGAGCCAGCACTAGCACCAGCAGCCTGTCTTCACAGCTGGGCCTTGCCTGGGCACTTGCCTAGCCCAGTGGTTGGCAAACTGTGGCTCGAGAACACATGTGGCTCTTTGGTTCCTTGAATGTGGCTCTTCCACAAAATACCACGTGTGGGTGCGCAGATACAGTGCAATCGAAACTTCGTGACCCACATGCAGCAGTCGGTTGTCGGCCCGGGCCAGTCTATTTTAAAGAAGTGGTTCTAACGCCGAGCCACACTCAAGGGGCCAAAGAGCCGCATGTTTGCCTACCACTGGCCTAGGGCAATAGGTCATACCGCACAGCCCGGTGGTGTAGTAGCTGGACCATCTAGTTTTGTGTAAGTGCACTCTGTGATGTTCACCCAAGGACAGAATTGAGTAATGACGCACTTTTCAGAACCTGCTCCATCATTAACACACAAATTCCTACCACCTAGAAACACAGTACAAGGCGTTATCCCCTGTGCTATGTCACCAGGAGGTAGGACATGATTAAGTGGCACGTGACTATTCACACGGGCCTTGGAGAGTCCCAAGCGATCTCCATTTAACTTAGAAAATAAAGAGTTAAGCTAAAACCGGTATGGCTCAGCGGATAGAGCGTTGGCCTGCAGACTGAAAGGTCCCAGGTTCGATTCCAGTCAAGGGCATGTACCTTGTTTGCTAGCACATCCCCAGTAGGGGGTGTGCAAGAGGCAGCTTATTGATGATTTTCGTCGATGTTTCTAACTCTCCCTCTCTCTTCCTCTCTGTAAAAAATCAATAAAATATATTATAAAAGAAAAGAAAAAAGTTAATAACATGCCACTCATCACGAAATTAGCAGTCAGCGGCCAGCTTTGGGCTTACGTTTGCTGTACCTCTTTTAAAGGCTGCCCAGTCTCTTAAGTCACCATCCCTTCCGTTTGATACAGGTGTTAGAAGCGTCGTTTCACACATTTTGTGTAATGCTTTCTTATCACATTGAAAACTAGCATTTATTGATAGTAAGAAATAAAAAAATTCAGCCCTGGCCGTGTTGCTCAGTTGGTTAGAGCGTCTTCCAGATAGATGGTTATGGGTTTGATATTTCTGGTCAAGGAACATACAGAAATCAGCCAGTGGCACTAGCCAATTTGGCCCAGTGGATAGAGTGTCAGCCTGTAGACTGAAGGGTCCCGGGTTCAATTCTGGTCAAGGGCACATACGTTGGTTGGGTTCAGTGCAGGAGGCAACCAATAGATGTGTTTCTCTCACATCGATATTTCTCTCTCCTTTTCCCTCTCTTTTTCCCACTCTCTAAAAATCAGTGGAAAAATATCCTCGAGTGAGGATTTAAAAAAAAAAAAGAATAAATAAAAAGAACCAATGAATGCATGCATACATACATAGGAACAACAAATCCATGTTTCTCTTGCTCTCTCCCCCTCCTCAGTCCCCTCTCTCTAAAAGTCAATAAATGTTTAAAAGTAAAAAAGTTCAATGCATTGATTCTCAACCCAAGGATCTCTCCACAATCTACAAATAGGACTTTTGATTTTTTTGATTATACAATCTTATATTGGCTATATTAGTTTTAGATGTTCAGTATAATGACTTGACATTTTTATAACTAACAGTGTGATCACCCCACTAATTCTAGTAATCATCTGTCTCCATGTGAACTTTTTAGAAAAGGACACACACCAGGTTCCCCCAAATCCCCATTGTAGGGGCTTCTGTTTTAAAAGGAAGCTAAATGAAGAATTAGCATCGCTGGGTTAAAGCGACTTTCAAAATAAACTTAATGGGTGTTTTATTACAGAATTTTTATATGAATTGCTACCTAAAGCATTGCTAACTAGTTCTTTTCATAATGAAGCTACATTGAAAAGGAAAAGGCAATTGGTGGGAGGGTCAAAGAGCTAAGAGACTGTTAAGTGCAAAAAGAAGTAGTGTTCACTGTTGACTGACGATCATATGAGTCATAAGAATCTTCTATTTTTACCACATATTTTAGGTCTTAAATGGTGCATCTCAGTGTTTTAAAAAAACTTGTGTTCATTTAAAAATGTGAGAGTTCCTGCTCTGCGCCAGTAATTATGCGTAAGACAGCATGGTCCCTCACAAAGGTACCTTCTCTGATGCAGTAAGTCAAGCTCTTTTCCCTATTTTATACATTGCCTAAAGTTGAAAGGGGCAAGACCCAAGAAGCAACATCTTTTGGTCTTAGGTCTCACAAAAACTCATCTAGCTCAGAGCTTAGTACACTAGCAGAGATTCATCTTGAGCTTAGTCCCAAAGGATTCTGTCTTTGGGATCAGATAATCTAGATTTTAAACTATAGTTCTGCATTTCCTTACTTTGTGAATGGCATTGACCAATTTACTTAATATCATGCATTGCCTTGTTCTCTTAATCTGATTGGAGAGATTGGACAGGATTCCCAAGATCTAGAAACTTGACAAGGTTTTAGGATTTTTATTCAGCTCCTAAAATATAGTCAGCTGATTTTTCAGAAGAGGAAATGAAGTGTTTCAGTACTTCTGAGTTTCCACAGTTTTCTTGCTTGAAATTGTTCTTACATTACATTTTCCTTATTTCTAATCTAACTTTTTCATCTGCTGTTTATAATTATTCCACTTTTACTTCTACTCTGGTGAGTTTTTTCTTCTTCAATTTCCTTTTAAAATTCAATTCCTATAACAAAATTCACCATTTTAAAGTGTACACTTCAGTGGCATTTAGCACATTCACAGAGTTGTGCGGTCATGACTTCTGTTTAGTTCTAAAATACCGTCTTCACCCCAAAAGGAAGCCTCG